AGGAACTTAAATTAAGTTGCTACAATCAGGAAGCCCTTTATTATTTACTATGATTCCCCTATGGTAGCTTAACTTAACAGTTGCCAAAACAAGGAAACTCTAACTTTATTATCTGTATCCATATACCCCTATTCATTATGGTAACTTAAAGCAAGTCCTTAGCACAAGCCAGTCTAAGCTATGAAGGCGCTTCTCCAGCGCTTGAAGAAGGGCGGCAAAGCGATTGTCGCCAATCATGGGCCGCTGGATCTGAGTAACCTTGCAATGTAGGGTCAGGAGATGTATGTCATCGGGGTTTAGGTTTAGGGGTTCAGNNGGTTTAGGGTTTAGGGTCCGGGGATGTAGCTCTTCAGGGCTTTTAGGCAGATCTAGGGTCTTGGAGATCAAGGGTTTAGGAGGTTTTTTGCTACGATCTAGCTAGTTTGGGATGGGTTTTCTGCGAAAACGATCTCACAACATGGTTCCGTGGGCTTTGGGTGAGATTTCGCTGAACGTTTTGAGCCGTTGTGGATTCAGGTCCCTAAGCCCTAGGCCAAAACACTGCACCCTGAAACCTAAGCCCCAACACAGAAAGGCACCAACGACAGCGCCCTGGCTCGCCCTTCGGCTCTCTATAGCTGTGGGGCTAAGGGTTTAGGGTTTACTGTAGGGGCTTATCGAGTTACCTCTTTGAGGGCTTAATGATATAAGGAAAGCATAGCAAGAATCCACAGAAAAAGTTAGTTTTTCTAGGGTCCAAGCAGGGTTTAGGGTAGGGGCTTGGGCTTCCGAGCCCGAAGCTCAGACTTCTGCGTGCTCAGGTCCGTCGGCTCCAGTGTGAATGCCTCCATCCACGATGGGCTTGTGGAGGAGATCTGGGTCATGTACTATAAGGTTTTGAATAAATAGTTTTGGTATAATGGCCCCCAAAGCCCTATTTTAATTATTCAGGCTCCTACATTAATATAGCGGCCTAAGAAGTACGAATAGTAATACTACCCCTTAGGGGTTCCTTAAATACTTCTAGTGTAATATACCCCAAAACCCTATTCTAATCATCGAGGCCCCTAGACTAAGCTCCTGGCTCCTCCGGTCTTCTTGGGGGCTTCCTTGTATTTCACCATGGTTAGCCAGGGGTATATGGTAATATAGGGGCTTAAATAATTACCAATACTATTCTGAGGGTTCCTTATTTTAAGTATAGTATTATGGGCCCCTATATCCCTATATCTTTCAACCCTTATTGATAGTAACCCCTTTTAGGAACCCTTTTTAGGAACCCTTTAAAGCCACCCTATTCTATTTATTAAGGCCCCTACATTACGGGAAGCGAGGTTGTCCGACCCTCACACCCAGGTCCTGGCTCTCTCTGTTGAGGTTTGTCCGGGCTTTCGATTCCCCAAGCAGTGAGGGGGTTCTTTCCTTCAAAGTAGTGGGATGATGCTACCTCTAAACCCTAAATTCACCCTAAACCCTAAACCCATCTGCGAAGTTGTGGGAGCAGCCCCCTAGGACCCTCAGCCCATAAACCGAGCGACTCTAGGCCTCAGGCTCACATTCCTCTGTAAAGCCGGTACCTCAAAACCCTGCTAGGAACACTTGTGTCTAGGAGCCCGTCTACAAACCCTGAAACGGAACCCTGAAAGGAACCCTTAAAGGAGCCCTTATAGGAACCCGTAGCGGAACCCTTCAAGGAGCCCTTCTAGGAACCCGTAAAGGAACCCTCAAAGGAACCCTTCAAGGAATCCTTAAAGGAGCCTTATAGGAACCCCTAAAGGAACCCTCAAAACAATCCTTGAAGGAGCCCTTATAGGAACCCGTAGAGGAACCCTTAAAAGAACCTTTGAAGAAATCCTGACAGGAGCCCTTGACGGAACTTAAAGAAGCCCTTCAGCGCCTTGTTTGCTGCAGGACTCCGTCATGTTCGCCCAGGACACTTTGCAGGAAGCGACCAAGGCCTGCATGACGGGAAGCCCGAAGTGCGACCCCAAATCCGAACCCCGAAACCCTTTTTCCATCTAAACCCTGAGCCCTAGGGCGACTTGTGAGTGGGGAGAAGGTATTTTCTGTCTTAGTGTTTGGCCCTAAGGACTGTGGCTTGACCTCTGCGGAGAGAAAGTCCCAAAGCACTTAAAAAAAAGACACATCCTAAACCCTAAACCCCAAGTCCTGAACCTAAACCCTGGGCCTCATAGCTGCTGAGAAGGACTGCGGTGCCGGGCTCATCGTCGATCACCTGGTTGCTCTCAGCGCTTCAGCTGCAGGTTGTAGAAGAATGTTTTGGGTTTAGGGTTTAGGGTTTAGAATGCTCGAAGATTTGGTGGATGTCTGGGGGTATGAGGTCTGAAACCCGAAAACCTTAAGACTAAGTAAAACCCTTAACCAAAGCCCTAAACTGGCCCTCAACTGTAAAACATTCTAAACCCCAAAACCTTAAGACTATGCCCTGGGATTCGCAGGGTTTTTCCGGTGGGTTCTAGCCCCCGGGCCCCTGGCGTCACCAAGCGATACACACCAAAGCCTTCCTACGCTTATTTAGGGTTTAGGGTTTAGGGTTTAGGGTTTAGGGTTTATTGATGATATACATCCTGCATTACCCATAATAAGGTATATACCATAATTCCCATAGTTTAGGGTCCTCAAGGTAATGCCCCAGACACTAAACCCTAAACCCTCTACCCTGGTAGTAATTCCCATAGTTTGGGGTCCTTAAGTTAATGCCCTAAACCCTAAACCCTAATTCCCATAGCCTACATTAGGGTTTAGGGTTTAAGCCTCAAGCCACGCCCCAAAGCGTGACTGAACCCCGCTTCCTCGACCCAACACCAACCCCCAAATTGGGTTCACGAAATCCTCAAGCAGACCTCAAACCGAGACCTCCACGCCGCAGCACCCCAATATCCCTAAACCCTGAACCCTAAACCCTAAACCCTAAACCCTAAACCCTAAACCCTAAACCCTGAACCCTGAGCCTTAAACCCTAAACCCTAAAGGCCCTACACCCCTGAACCCCCGAAGCGATCAATCAAATCCTGGGGCCTCTCAGTCACTGCAACACCACCCCAGCACAGAAAGCCACCTGAAACCTAAACCCCAAAAGCATGAGTTTTCCTTCGTACATCCCAAAAATGAAATTCTATCACACCAGAATATAAGATGAACTATCCTTAGGAATCGTTTCGTATTTTTATCGTATCAGAGCTCCATGGGATTATTTAAACAACGATTTTTCATTGTGTTTCTATGAGCATCTATTCGCACAAGCCACACCTTGTCAAACCTCATCATGCCACTCAGGCTCGCAGCTTGAGACGGAGAGTGGCGTCAAGGCTTCCCGTTGGTCTGTGTTCCTGTTTTTGTTGTTGTTTCCTTGCGTGGGGTGTTAGGGTTCGTTTAGGGTTAGTTCAGGTTAGGGGATTAAGGATTCCGCGGTTTCTCTTTGTCTTGCTCTCTCTTTCAGCGGGGGAAGCGGGGATGTCAGCGTAGGGTTTAGATAGGCTCCAACCTTCAAGATTTTGAATCATACTGGGTTTAGGGATGTTTAGGTTTTAGCTGGCTTTTCAGTTTCCGTGCTTCCAGCTTAGATTTGGAACCCTAAACACTAAACCGCTTTATCAAGGTGTGATGGTCAGGCTCTGACGCTGTTGGAAGATCGAGGGCTGACCTATGGTCTCCATTGTAGTTCCCTTTCGGGTTACCTGATAGGATTTTCATCTGTCTGCTCTTTTCTTGGTGTTTCCTTTGCGTATGTCCATGGGTGAGGGGGAATTCTAGCCCTTTCTGAGGTGCTTTCACTACTAGTTTCTGCATTCGCAGCTTCTGGTGCTTTCCCCATCGCTGGTACGACGAACAAAGCCAGCCTGCATGTGCTTGCTCCCTTTGCAACCCGTAGCCGTTGTGATGTTCAGTATTCTGATGATGATGACGGGGATGATGTTGGCGGATTGGTGATCATAATGACGATGGCTGATGGTGCCGTTGATGATGATCTTGATGGTGCCGCTGCTGCTGCTGATGATGAGGACGATGGCGGCTTGCGTGTTTCAGTGTGACGAACACAGGACGCCGCGCTCAGGTGCCTGGAACTGTTCTGCCACTGTAGCATTCAAGCAGCGACAATCCACGCCCGCACTCCGTTTCAAAGGAGATGACACCACATGTGGTGCACATGGGTCGTGATCGCAGTCTGCTTCTGCAGTGCTGCTCGATGTTGGCGCATGGCTCGCCTAAGTTTTACATGGCGTCATTGTTTAGAAGACACGACGGTATAGCTGCATTGGAACCGATGTGCCCAAGAACATAAACAGATGTTTTGCGCCTACATGCACATACATACATATATGCACATTCACAGACGTGTATACATACATAAACACACAACCATAAACATATACATACATACGTACATACAGCACCCACAGATGGAGGTTTCGCTGAGTGCGCAGATCTTTCCCGCCGCCGGACACCCGGCGCGGTCCCCGGGGTTCTTGAAGCTCTGGATTCTTGAGGTGAGGGGTGGAGCGGACAATCAGACTTTGATCTGATAAATGCTGGGTTTACGGCTTGGGGTTTCGGGGACTTGCGGACCATTTTCGAAACAGATTGAACCCTAAACCTTAAACCCTACATACACCCAAACTAAATTCGGAACAGATTGAGGCCTCAGTCCGAAATTTGATTTCAATAACTCAAAACATACAATCAGCAATTGAGGTCTACCACCGTTTGGACGTGCACTGGGTGGCCGGCCACCATGCCACGTCTTTCGGTTGCACCTGGCGCGAGACAGCTACAATACAGGGGCCTTAGAAATTTGTTAGTCATAGTATTACGGCGGCAGCAGCAGTGGTTGCAGATAAGTGGCGTCGGGTATTCTGTGCTTGGCCCATATTGGAGACGACAAGGTGCAGACAAAATCTGGCCGATTAATCTAGGGGCCTAAATAATTACCAACATTGTTTTGGGGGTTCCTTATTATAAGTATAGTATAATGGGCCCCAAAACTCTATTAAAATGATTAAGGCCCGTACACTCTAGAAGCTCCGACTTTCACAACGATCTCGCAAAGGCTTCAGGATTTGTCTAAAGCCCTGTCACCTTAAGCAGTGGGTTCGAGACTCCTCCCTATGGCACAAGCTGGTTGAAGGCGCGCGGGGTGATTACGAATCAGGTTACTAGTACTTTGTTATTTACGTTTGCAACGTGCGATAAGTTAACCGCCTTCCTTGGAGCCCGAGTCTCCCTACACCTGATCCCTTGAACCCACACAGCTCCTGATGCTGTCCCTAAGCCCTTAACCCTAAAATAAGGATCGGCAGGCCATCCTAGACCCTAAACCCTAAACCCCCGAGCCTAGACCTGAAATCACCTCGTGGACGCAGGAGCCCATATGCGCGCCACGGCGAGGCGGGGATATCGCTGAAGTCGGGCCTGTTAATGTTGCCGAATTTCGGCCAAGGGTTCGGAGCGTTGCTTCCTTGATCAGAATGTCGTGTGTGTATATATATATGTGTGTGACAACATAGCCCACGGGTGGGACCACATATATATATATATACACATGTATGTATGCAGATATATTTATATATATATATATATATTTATGTGTATCATCACCCTAAGCCCTAAACCCTAAAACTCCATCAAGACCCTGGAAGACGGACTTCCCAAGAGAATCCCAGCAGCCTTGATCTCCAGCGCTCCAGGTACAAAGCAAAATCAGTCGATAACATGCTGAGAGAGATGCTAGGGCTTAGGTTTTAGGGAAAAGGGGGTTTAGCGATTTGGGGGCTTAGGTTTCAATTACGGGTAGAGCCTGAGGGAGATGTGGGGGCTTTTAAAGCCATCTCGCCAACAACTAAGCCCCAACAGCTGTAAACTCTATATTCCAGGATCGTACATCCATAATCAAAACCAACTCAACCCCGCAAACTCAACCCCCACCCCAAGATCCTAGACCCATAACGTCCTAAAAAACCCTCTAGTCGCACTGGACTGCACTTGGATACTGGTTTGGTTTGTTGCTTTTTTAGGTTCCTGATTTCGTTATGGCTCTCCGAAAAATGCATTGCTCTTATCTTCGAGTGGGAGTGAAGTATATTAAGGGCCGTAATACCTACCAATACTATTTTAGGGCTCCTTTTATTACAACAGTAGTACTACGTGCCCCAAAGCCCCACTCGAATTATGCAGGCCACGCTTTCAGAAACTCCGAGGTCCCTGGCCCCTGACAGGCCCTCTCTAAACCTTAAACCTTAAACCCCGAAACCCCTAAACCCAAAACCCCTAAACCCTAAACCCTAAACCCTGAAGCCCTGAGCCCTAAACCCTGAAGCCC